CTGAGCCACCCAGTGGCCCCATGAAAATTACAAGCTTCTAATTATGGCTTGGTCTCTTTGGTGACCAGCTCTCTTTCTGAAGCAATCCAGAAGCTCACCAAGAGTCACCTCATTAAAACAAAAGATATTCCTATTATCCAGGAAATTCCAAGTGATTTAGGAGCTCTGTGTCAAGAACCAGGGTCAGAGACCAAGTATTAGAACAAAAGATGCCTCTAGTGCTCTTATCACTTAGGAAAGTCCAGAGGTTTTTAGGAGCTCTATGTCAGGAACTGGGGACAGAGACCAATATGTATCTTTTCTATTATTTCACACTCTGTCATTATCAACATCTCCAATCAGAGGGGTACATTTGTTATAGTTGATGAACCTACATACATAAAATTATTCTCATAATAATTAAAATTATTATCATAATCACCCAAGGTCCAAAGTTTACATTACGGTTCACTCTCATTGTGTATTCTATAGACAAATGTAAAATGACATGTATCGATCATTATGATATCATACATTTTCATTGCCCTAAAAATCCACTGTGCTCTGCCTGTTTATCCCTCTCTCACCCCTGCCTCTGGAAACCACTGATCTTTTTACTATTTCTATAGTTTTGCCTTTTCCAGAATGTTCATATAGTTGAAATCGTACAGTAGGTAACCCTTTCAGATTGGCTTCTTTCACTTAGTAATATGTATTTAAGGTTTCTCTATGTCCTTTGATAGCTTGTTATCTCATTTCGTTTTAGTGCTGAGTAATATTACACTGTCTGGATGTATCATAGCTTATTTATCCATCACCTATTGAAGGACCTCTTGGTTGCTTCCAAGTTTTGGCAATTAGGATTAAAGCTGCTGCAGACATTCATGTGCAGATTTTTGAGTGGACGTAGGTTTTTGAGTGGATACCAAGGAGCATGGCTGCTGGGTCATATGGTAAGGGTATGTTTCGTTTTGTAAGAAACCACCACACTGCCTTCCAAATGGCTGTACCGTTTCGCATTCCCACCAGCAATGAGTGAGTTCCTGTTGCTCCACATCCTCACCAGCACTTGCTGTTGCCAGTGTCCCACATTTTGGCCATTCTGATAGGTGTGTACTGGTATGTTCTTTTAATTTGCATTTCCCTGATGACATGATGTGGGAATACGCTTTCCAAAAGCGTAGTTGCCATCTGTAGATCTGTGATGAGGCCTCCGTTAAGGTCTTTGACCCCATTTTTAATCCAATGCTTGTTTTCCTGTTGTTGAGCTTTAAGAGTTGTTTGTATATTTTGGGTAGTAGTCCTTTATCAGATGTGTCTTTTGCAAATATATTCTCCCAGTTTGTGTTTGCCTTGTCATTCCCTTACCATAGTCTTTCGCAGAGCAGAAGTTTTTTTTATTTTAATGAGTCCCAGCTTATCAATTCTTTCTTTCATGGATTGTGCCTTTGGTGTCATAGCTAAAAAATCATTGTCATACCCAAGGTCATCTTGGTTTTTCTCCTGTCTTATCTTCTATGAGTTTTATGGACATTTTCTAGTACCTCTACCAGTATTAGTAATACCAGTATTCCTAATATTTATCATGCCTCAAACCAAGATTATTTCTCTCCTTCCATCATTTTCTTCTTCTCTTCCCCTCCAAAAACTCCTGCTCTTCCTTATTATGGTTCCTTATTTTAGAGATAATGTCACCAACATCTCTGTGGTCTCCCAGACTGAAAATGTAAGTTATCATCTTTGGTTCTTACAATTCTTTTGCCCATTATCCTTTTGGATTGATTTGTTAACACTTTTTAGATATCAAGGATATTAGCTCTTGTATGTGTTATATATGTGAATATGTTTCCCAATTTATGGTTTACCTTTATATATCATATTTTGTGTGTGTGGTATAGCTGTTTTAAATTTTTATGTGTTCAAATTTGTCAATTTTAGGTTTCTATGTATTCAGATTTACCAGTAATTTTCTTTATGTGCTTGGGTTTCATATCAAGTGCAGAAATACTCCGGCCATTTTATTCAATAGTCAACATTATGATCACAAGCAGTGGGTCTGTAAGCTTTTCAAAAACCTATAAAAATATTTGAAACCTAAGATAAAATACTGTTCTTCCAAAAAACAACAGGAAAATCACAAAATATAAACACGTGTTTGTCTATAAATATAACATTTTATCAGCTTTATTAATTATCAAATTTAGTGTTCATAAACATTTTCTTAAAGCCCATCCTGTACTTTGCTATGTCCTATCCACATGAATTTCAGTGGCTTATTCAATCCCTTCTTTAAAAAAAAAAAATGTTTTTATGTTTATTTATCTTTGAGAGAGAGAGAGAGAGTGCAAGCAGGGAAGGGGCAGAGACAGAAGGAGACACAGAATCCGAAGCAGGATCCAGGCTCTGAGCTGTCAGCACAGAGCCTGACTCGGAACTCAAACTCAGGAACAGTCAGATCATGACCTGAGCCAAAGTCAGCCACTTAACCAACTGAGCCACCCAGGCGCCCCCAATCCCTTCTTTAATTTTTTTTTTTAATGTTTATTTTTTGAAGGAGAGAGAGAGAGAGCGGGGGGTGGGGGGGCAGAGAGAGAGGGAGACACAGAATCTGAAGCAGGCTCCAGGCTCTGAGCTGTCAGCACAGAGCCCAATGTGAGGCTCGAACTCATGAGCTGTAAGGTAATGACCTGATCATGCTTAACCAACTGAGCCACCCAGGCTCCCCGCCCAGTCCCTTCTTTATATTCACGCTGACACTGGCTGATTTCAAGCCTCCTGAAAGAACTACCATAGTTTCCTAATTGGTCTACCTGTGACAAATTTCTAGGCTGTCCAAGTCACTCATTGTAGAATTATCATGCTAGCACAGCGGCCAAATTACGCCACTCCCTTCTTTATAAATGCAAACTTTAGTATAGCATTCAAAACCACACTTTTGTCAGCATGGCTTAGTACAGCTTTCAAGGCCCTGCATACTTTGACTCAAGTCCAGCCTCTCTGCTTTTGACTGTCTGTATATTGTGTCCCAGCACCCACAGACAGTTCTCTGGGCACTCCCTGTGCTCTCCTGCCTCTGTTAGTGGCGTTTTCTCCCCCTGCAATGCCTTTCTGTCTCCACTTACCTGGAATTTTACTCTGTCCTTCAGAGCTCAGTTTACATATGAACTACTCGTGTTTTCCCTGATCCCTCAACTTCTCCACCCGCACCCCCACTTTTTTGCAGGTTTCTGTGTGTGTGTGCACACACACTCCACAATAGTTATTCTGTGTTAAGAGTGTCCAGTTCACATATTAGCCTCCCAGGTGTTAAACAAATTCTTCAGAGCAAGAATCTTAACTGATAGGATTGTTATAGCATGTACTCAATAAAATGACCATTGAATCAAGCTTCCTACCCTTCTTTCTTTCCCTGTTTTTCTTTTTTGATTTGTTGTTGCTATTATGTTACATCACACTGTGAAAGAGTATATAAAAGGTATATGAAGAATTTTAAATGTAACTTTAAAAAAATGAACCCACCACCTAGCTTAAGAAATGGAACATTGCCAGTATCTTCAAAACCTCCTGTGTGTGCCTATCCAACCATGTGACCTTCCCTCCATGGGCAGGTCCTTCCCCAAGATTAACACTATCCCAAATTTTATATTAACAGTTTCCCTTATAGTTTCACTACATAATTGTCTCTCTGAACAATGGTGTTTAGTTTGGTCTATTTTTAAAATTTTGTTTAAGTGTAATCATACTGTATATATTCTTCTGACTTGCTTCTTTCCCTCAACATTATGTCCTGGAGATAAATTCGTGTGGAAAACCATAGTTCATTAGTTTTCAATGCGGTGTGGGATTTTATTGTAGAAGTAAACAGTATTCTATTTTCACGTTATTTTTAATGGGCATTTGCGTTGCTTACATTGGGGTCTATTACGAATAGTGCTGCTACACACGTTCTTGCACGTCTCCTGGAGACCCATGCACGAGTGTCCATGGAGGATGGGAATAAGAGCAGGATTGCTGGGCCGCAGGGCCTGTGTGTGTGCAGGTTTAACACGTAATGCCAAACTGTCATCCAAAGTGACCCTACCAGGGCCCATCCGGAGGGGAGCTGCCCTTGTTCCAGGCTTCCTCAGTGCTTGGTATGGTCTGTTTTTAATTTTCACCTATCTAGTGGGTATGAATTGGTATCTTCTGGTTTTAATTTTCATTTCCCTGACGGCTAATGTGGTTGTTCATCTTTTCATATGTTTATTGCCATTTCTGTTTCATCTTGTATGAAATACCTGGTTTTGCCTTTAGCCCAGTTGTTTCAGTGCCTCTGAATTAATGGATCTTTGTTTCCTTGCTGATCTGCGATGCCAGCGTCATCATAAATCAAGTTTCCATATATGTGCAGAAAAATAGATGGCTCTCCATTCTAGCCCTTTGGTCTGTTTGTCCTTCCTGGGGGCGATACCGTACCATCTTCATAATAAGTCTCCATATCGAGAGGTCCTTGTCCCCTTTCTATGCCTAGTGTGATTGGGGACATTTATTATTTTTCTAAATAAATAAAAGTTCTATAGATGGATGGTGTGATTCATAGGCTAGCTTTTTTGTTGTTGTTGTTTTACAAATTTTAAAGTTACTCATTTAACCCCCTCTTCAAAGACAAAACAAAATATTTTCTTTTACAATATTTTTAGCCTTTTGACATAGCCTGCACACCTGTCATTATTCTGATCAAAGTAAAACAAATACTCAAACACTGTTTTTATTCTTTCTCTTCGTCCCATCCTTAAGAATAGAGTCTGAAAACCTCACAGTTTTAAAAATGTGTCTGTTTGCTCCTGGGCAACCAAAAATGTGAATTTGCTTTTCCTAACCCTGGAAAAATCCACACTAATGGCACAGTTGTCGTCACACTGTGACGTTTCTTGCTGTTTGGGATCCCTCGTTGCTCGGCACTTGCCTTTCCTGCTGGAGTATAGTCGTTTCTCTTGGTCTCATAGTAACCTTGTTTTCATATTTGCCAATTTTCCTGGCAGCTGCTGCCTGCGAGTTTTTAGACATTGTGGAGCTGCTGCTGCAGTCTGGCGCTGACCCCGCTCTCCCAGACCAGGACGGCTGCCTGCCGGAGGAGGTGACAGGTTGCAAGGCTATCTCTTTGGTGTTGCAGCAGCACACGACCGGCAAGGTATAATCAAAAGGCTGGAAGACCACAGTCCGTAACATCATAGAGCTCCAGTGATGAAGGACACCTGCAAAAATAATACTTCTTTTAGCACCCATCTTTGGTATACATTGGCTAATAAAATCAGTTCTGAGGAACTGGGATTTTGAAGTCTCAGCAATTCATTCTCCTTGCATCCGTTCCAGCAAGTACAGTTGTGGTGATGAACATGTGTCCTGCGTATAATACAATCCAATTCTGCTGAGCGCGCGCTGAAATTTATCACTGTTCTAGAGGGTGGGGCAAGGAGGGGACGCCTCGTATTTCACAGTATTAAACATGGCTGCTCTTTTAAAAAAACATACAGAAGCAAAATATGACCGACAGTGCTACCCTGACAGGGAAAGTTGCATGAAATCCCAATACAGTAGAGGTCAAGTGATCTTGTGGCATTTTGCACAGCTGGCCTGAATATCGGTAGCTAAAATGTCTATTTTTGGCAGACAGAATTGAGAAGACAAAGACAGAGGGGTGTTAAAAAGCAAGCAAAAGAGAAAAAAAGGTCGAATTTTGTCACATAGGGGCCTAGAAGTCCGAGAAACAACCAGATTTACTGAAAACCCCAAAACCTTGGGCATTTTAGAATAAGATTCAGTGACCTCACTTCAGGATTGAAGCGCAGATTTGGGAGAATTCACTGGTTAGTTCAGGATTCCTTAAACTCACCTCCACAAAACGGGGCGGGATTTCCCCCAGGGCCCTTTTAATTGGCTCTGATGTTCCAGTCACATACTGGCAGTAGTCTCTGGAAATGAGCTCAGGCCTGAACTGTGAGGCTGTTTGAGTCTAATGTGAAATAGCCCCTAATGCCCCAATGCTTAGCTGTGAGTATAGTTACTTCTGGATACCAAGAGAGCTTTTATTTTCTAATTAAAAACATAGACAAATCCACCACAGCTTTTCTTTAAGGGAGCGACAAGTATGCCGCTTTTGAAACTGGCTCCCTATGTTTTCCCCTTCAAGCCTCAAGAACTCCATCTGGGGAATTCCTTGACATTTCTCGTTATATAAAGAAAGTAGGTAGTTGTCCTAGGAAGAGAAATGAAGTAAGAAATGATTTGAGATGCAGAGATGACTATTTAAAAGATAATTTTTCCAACGCGTCTCTATTAAAAAAAGTAATAAACTTGCTTAGCAGAGCCCTCAACAGTGGACACGATTTTCATTAGCTCAGGCTAACCTGTCCTTCTGGAACAAGCCCCTTCAGAGCAGAAATGAGGCATATTAATGCTGTTTATTTTGTGATTTTTCTAAGCTCATTTCTTATTTTCTGAGATGTAAACCAAAACCATTCACCAAGACTGTTCATTCTTTAATTGATTTCTTAATTATCTGTGGAAGTGATATGCACGTTAGTACACAGTGAAAACATTACTGTAATTCTAGTGGAGCTTTCTATTCATTATCTGTTCTTTTCCCATAATCCCAACCACATTTGCAACCCGCTATAAGCTAAATTCTCTCATGTTCCACATTAATTGTGTTTTAACAAACATTATTCATTAGTTACAGTAAAAGTGACCAAGATGTTGCATGCAGCTTTCATTAATAGTACTTTTGCATTTTTAGGACATTAGCAAATCAAAATATTTATTCATTTCAGATTTACAGGGTCATTATCTAAGCAAAAAGCTGTCAAGGATCTCCTTTTTTCATTTCTCTTTTGTAATCTGACCTTAAAATTTCCGAGTCAAGTTTTTCATAACCTGTTTTGCAACGTCTAAAGTTATATAGATTGTTTTTAAGCAAAGAATATAACTTTTTATTGATTTTATTTTTCAAGGTTTCTTTGTTTTGTTTTGGGTTTTTTTTTTT